GAAAGACAGTTTGTAGGTTGATAGCACGAAAGTTGAAAGAAACACAGTAAATCCATTGGAGTTCTGCTCGAGATTGATTCCCGTGAACTTTACAACATATCGAGATATTCGCGTTTGATGAACTTACTTTTATTACGGCGTTATAAACGATCGTTAACATTGAGTTTCTGAAAACACAGAACAAATATCGATTACTCTGTGGATATACAGCATGGACTGAGCGTACAAACGTAACAGAGATTTTATTTTTAATAAAGTGAATTTAATATTGTGAAATTTAAAGAAAATTACTCGTTGGACAGAAAGAAATGGGAATGTACTCTATAAACGAAAGAAAATTTTCCTTCCTTCACGAGAGATTCAATCTTTCATCCTTTTGACTTCGTCCCCGCTTCTCAGTCCACTCTGTATTGTAAACATAAAACATTTTTCGAACGTTGGCACTTTTGAGGGGCAACTCTAAAGAAACGCGAAAGGAATCGGGCCAAAAGAACACATTCATTCCATTCGCGCATTCCCTTTGGAAACGCAATTAGTTAAAATATCGCTAAAAAAGAAAAAAAAAAAAAAAAGAAAGAAAGAAAAACAGTGAACGGAACGTATGATAAATTTTAAAGAAATAATTGCTCGATAGACCATGGAAAAATAGCTGTTCGCGATTCTCTTCGTCGTTTTCAACCTCAATGAGATACATATCGCATAAAAGACATTGCTAGCGAGGTCGAGAAGCGTTCAAGAATATCAAGTTCGACGTCTTGCACGCTCAGACGGACAGAGGAAAGAACAAAACGAATGTTCGACAAAATACGTAGAATATTCAGACACGTTTCATTTCTTTTCTTTTTTTTTTTTTTTTTTCCTTTTTTGTTTTTCCTTTACACTCGAACGTCAACGCTTAAAGTCCCTTGTTCGTGTAACACAAATCGCAAAGATCCTCGCGAACCCACGTAAAAGCTTTATAAAAATAATTATTGTCCTCCTGAGTTTCAATTTCTCGTGTCTCTGATTAGCAAAGAACGCTCGAAGCTTTCTGCTCGACGCGTCCAATTAAAGAAGCAAAACGAAGAATGGTCGAAAGGGTAAAGGGTCTGAGGACTCCCGCGTAATGAATCAGTCGCAGAAAGTCCGTGAGCGAGAACTCATACGAGAAACGTACTCTACTTACATAACTCTCTTAAGGCTCTCTGTTGCGATTAACACGTTCAGCATCCAATGTTAGAAATGAGTTCAGAAGCCACACTGATCAACTCTGTAAATTGAAGCATCGGAGCATAGAAAAGTGTTATAAATTGCAATCACTGCTTTTTTTTAGACGTTCCTTAGAATTTATTATTAATCGTATATCTATGTAATGAAATAAAATAATTAATGAAATATTAAGTCAGTCAGTTTGGCATCTGAAAGTTTCCCATCGTCCGTATATTAATGTTACTCAGCAAAACTGTGAACGTGTCAATCACATTTGTAGACTGCGGAAATCCATGCATTCACGACGAACGCGAATATACGAAGATATGCAAGAACGTGCACAAATACAAAGATCTTATAAAATATCAAAAATAAAGTTCTTACATTTAGGAAATAAAACGTTCTTCCGTTCAAGTTGAAGTTCACTCAATTTGTAAAAGTACGAAACTGCATGAAGAGCCGCGGTCCAATCGTCATCAGGTATAGATCTCGATCGGTCGATTCGTCCTTCGACAGAACGCGTTGCGCTATATGCGTGTACGATAATTAGACAATATAATAATTTAACGACGATCATCGTGCGACTTGCTAAAATGTGCATCGCGTATCGGAGCTTGCGAACTCGCTTTATAATCCCTATAAAAATGAATCACTCGACGACGTGAGACGACGTTTTTTAGAAAGTAAAAGGTAGAAAAATATATTGCATACGCCGCTTTACCCGTTTCTCTCTGATTTTGTGCCGCGTGGAGATACACCCTTGGAAATCATTCTTTCGTCCTCTCTGCATTTTTCTTCTATCCTTCCAGCCCTCACTGATTTCGTCCGCTGACACACGCCGAGCTTTGTCGAAACTTACAGTAAAAGGGGAATGCAAAATTTTTTTTTTTCAACAATCTCTACCAAGCTTCCTACGCTCTCTTATCACGTTTCTTTTTTCTTTTTTTTTTTTCTTTTCTTGGATCACACCGTTCAATCCATCGAGTTTCCAATGTTTCATGCACATCATTCCTCCACGTTGTACTGACCCTCGAAAAAAGAAACGATGGACCCCATTCGCTTGTCCGCTTTCGGAAAATCTACGTTCTATTTGTACTTTACGGTTTTACACTATCGAACTATTCTTCAATTTATATTTCAATTCGTTCAACGTAACAACGATAATTTAATTCTGAAACCGGATGGGACGAAAGAAAATATAGATAGATAGAAGCGGGTGATCATTCGTGTGTGTGTGTGGTAAAAAAAAAAAAGTAATTATAGACTGCTAAATGCAAATCGTGTCCTTTTGGGATACAATTTTGCCAGCATTGTTCTTCAGTTTGCCGAAGTTGGAGATATAAAGTGGTACAAGATGCATTGATTTTGGCACAGTATCCTGGAATAAGACACCAGTGCTGACAGTATGTTCTAGAATTAAATATATCGGTTTTTACATAATACTCAATATCATTTAAAAAGCGTAAATCGAATTTTTCAAACTTTTAATTCAATCAATCGCACCGACACGATATAAAAAGAAAAAAAAAGAAAACATAATTTGCAATAACTCAGAAATTCATACGAGAAAACAAAACTATTCTGCTCTTAAATCATAGTTTCTTTATAACTGACGAAAAAAGAAAAAAAAAAATGAAGATACAGAGAGAGGTTCGCCCAAAATTGACAATGCGGGGTCCATCGCGATACAACGCAGTAATAAATTCTTCCTTCAGTAGACAGAGCACCACTTTCATTCACGGATATAGTAACTTTCTACGCGACTATGATACGCTCGAATAAAAAACCTCGCTTATTTAAAGCAGACCTTCCACTGTTGCTCCCTCCCCACTCGTAAAACTCCGTCTCAGTCTTCTTTTTCTTTCTATTTCTTCGAAACATTCGCATTCTCTTGTATCGCGCTTGCATTTCGAAAGCAACACTCGAAGGGCCATCGTGGCTGATCAACTTCGTGCTAAATTGCTTTCTCGAGTCCGGAAGACGCAGATCGCGAGCACGAATACCTGAATATCTGTTCCTCTACTTGTTGTTTCTCTACTTGCACGACTCTGAAAAGAAGCGGCCGCCGAATCGTCTCGTTGCCGAACGTTCGACAAACGGAGACACCGGCACGTTTTATACGTTCGCGCGGCTAAATCTCTACCCTGTATACATTTCGCGCGAACGTACGCAAAAAAGAGAGAAATAGAGAAAAACAGAGAGAAATAGAGAGAGAGAGAAAGAGAGAGAGATTCGCCTTCGATATCACACTTTTCATCGTTTTCGTGCAACGAATTGTGCGATCGCACACCTCTCAACTTCGATCTCGCCGTTCTGAGGAAACCATGTCGAGCTGATTGAATCCTGTCAGAACGAATTGTGAAAACTTTATGCGGCCATTATTTCCCTTTCTTTTTTTTTTTTTTCTTCTTTTTTGTTTGCTTTTTCTCTATGTTTCAGACACGTCTCACACTTACAAACCTGCTCCCGATTTGAACTTTTACACGACAGCGTGTAACGCGGGAATAGTCTTTTTGGCTGGATCGTAAAAAAAGGGGGGATGGTTCCGAAAGGATCCGAGGAAAATCGGCACATATAGAGAAAGATCCACGGCTCCCTTGTAGCATATCTGGCCATTCAGACCACGCAACATTCTTCTCCGCATTCTTTCGCATAAAAGCAACTCGATCACTCGCGTATAAATTGATCTCGTCCGTACAAATGTGTGACACAAACGCTCTGTTCTCTTGATTTCTGGATTTTTTTTCTTTTTTCTTGTTTTTAGATTTTTTGGCTTTCTCAACTGTTTCGGTGATTTTTCTTTCTGTTTTTTCTTTTCTTTTTTCTTTTTTTTTTGTACAAAATGTTGCGGTTTCCTTCGTCTTCTTTCTTGTTTGCTTTTGTTATCTCCTTTTGAATATTCGTAATGAAAATTGGTCGTCGAACGATACGAGAGGCAGTCATCGGATCTTTCCTTCTTTTCGAGACGAAATCAGAAGTGATATGGAAAGAAGGTAAAAGGACTCGAATGAAAAAAAAAACATATATGTGAAACGTGTGTGTCAAAAAATTTGATACATACGAGACGAAGTATTTAAAGCGCTTATTACCAAAGTAGAATAAAAATCATTCTATAGCATGTATATAGAAAAATTTACAATATTACTGTACAATTCTTAAAATAATTAAAGACAGAAACAAGAGAGCAACTTTTTTTTTAAATAAAAAAAAAACACACCATGACTGCGACTCGTATAATGGCATGAAACGAAAAATGATCGAATAGTAATCGTAACATGTCGCAATGCCGTTACATTTCACACATACAAAGACTAAAACTGTTAAAAAAAAAAAAAAAAAAAAAGAAAGAAAGAAAGAAAGAAATGCATTGATTATGAAATCAAAGAACTCTTTTCTAAGCTCCGTAATAAGCAGCAAGTCTCGCTATATATAATAATAATCGAATCTCGCGCTTACGCTTAAAGAGTATAAAATGCAATTGTATTTTTTTTTTTTTTTTTTTTTTTTTTTCACGTTTTCTTCTTCCTCTTCTTTCTCTTTTTTTTTTTTACTTTTTTATTTTTTTTTTTTTTTTTTTTTTGGTTTTGGAAGTAGAATATTTTTTCGTTTTTTTTTTTCCTTTTTCTTACATCCATCACTCGGTGATTACCAAAAGCTACGTAATATACGAAGATACGATTAAAAACGATCGGTTATCATGCGTAATTATCCTTACAATATAAAACTTCCAAAAAAGGAAAGAAAGAGAAAAGATTCAGCGATTTTATATCACCCTCGCGTATTTTTTTTTTTTTTTTTTGCTTTTTTTTCTTTTAGTGTTCGAGTACAGCGTGTACCATTCGGGAACGAATAAAGATAACGCTGTACGCTTCTATGCCACTGACTTTTTGTACAATTCTAAGTGATGTATTTGGCCGAAGCGTTTCACAGCCGGAAGGCAGAAACAAATTAATTCCATATCGTTTGCAACTTTCCTTTTTTCCAACTTCTATAAACATCTAATATCGTACGAAAATAGAATATTTCACGCGTTGCAAAATTGGTATCATGTCTTGCGTAAGCAGATCTTCTTCGTCCAAACTTTTCTAGACCTAGAATTCCCAACCTGTGCGAGTCGTAACGAAAGTTTCAATGTGTACTCCTATGGAAATCTTCTACTACGGAAAATTATTTTCATACGACATTCTGTCACGACAATTCTCGATTCTTATTTACTTCAATCTCACTATATTACGATATTCTACTAATGAGTGTATATGACAAGTGTTCTGTTTTTTTTCTTTTAAATAAATAAATGCTTATACTTTTTATACAAATGCGAAGAAGTGTCGCAGATATTTAAAATATAATAAAATATTATAAAATATTATAAAAATCAATCATGACTTGAAAAAGGTTGGGAAACTCTGCTCTAGATCTTTCACATAGTGTTCACGTCCTTCTTTAACACGTTCGATACTGTACCAGCCTTTGATTATTTATTATACAAAATAAAATTAGTCTTCGGAACGTATCTTTTTTCATCGGAAAAACAGAAAGCGTATACTCGTCAATGTAACGTAAATGTAACACATTTTTAAGATTATTACATGATCTGTCCTTCACTAGCAAACCTTTGAACAAATTCTACAGTCAATCGCATTCTAATCACCAGGAAGATCAGTGGAATTTTTATAGCTATCAGATCAGTCGTAAATTCTTACAAGATACGTGTAACGCGGAGCTGAAAAGAAGACGACAATAATGCGGGTCTGATCAGTTGTTTGCATTCTTAAATATAAGGACATATTAGCCGAAAGTATCACATAAACAAACAAACTCGTGTAGCAGTGTGTCGGCGAGTGGTGGCAAAGTGACTTTATTCTCTTTGCCACCACTAGCCCTCTTTTTAGCTCCGGACAGTATACTATACATCTCGTGGAGTACATCACAATTCTTCAAGCCTTTCCTGGATCATAGATGAATATGTCAGTTCCGATCCAATAGTATCAGCTAACGGATCACGAGCTAAGAAAACAGAAAGATATGAAATTCACCACTTTCAATCATCAACGTATATAAATAAGTAAAAACCTAAATACTAATTGTTCCTTATTTAAAAAAAAAAAAAAAATGACAAACAAACAATTGTTTTCGGAACAATTTCTTCGGAGTTTCTTCTTTCCAGGTGAACGCTTCGGTCGACTCGCGTTTTCTCTGTACTCCCACCAAAAAAAGTTCGAGGTAAAAAGAAACTTGATTGCCGCGCTTGAGTCGCGGTGATTGTTTTCTTTTTTTCTGGGAGGAGGAGAAAACTCATAGAAATGGCACAGCGGTATATACTTTTTCTATTTTTTCCCTTTAGTTATCCTTTTCCTTTTTTTCTTTTTTTCTTTTTTTTCTTTTAGTTTCCATCCCCGCGAGTCCCCGGTTCGTTTGAGCAGAAAATTACGGAATTACGTGCAGCGGCACAGAGCCAGTAAAATGTTCCACGCACACGATTTATCTGAGACAGCGCAGCCACTTCGGCAACAGTGCTGCGCATCTCAAATAATCTCAAATGGATCCGCTGCTATCACCAGGAAAGACCATCATGTTCTCAGCACCATAGGAAGGCGTCGGCGAACCCCTTGTGTCGAGAGAAGCTCTGCTTGCCGAACTAAAACTGCTGGAGCTTAGATCCTCGTAACTGGCAACCGACTGGCTACCACCTGCAACAGACGAAAACCATTTTCGTGTTTTAGAATTCAATGTTAATTGTAAATTAACACGTTTGCTGCCACATATTTCCTCTCCTTGTACGTTTCATTTAATTTTTATAAAATACAGGAGCTTATTATAAAAGTATTTGTATCCATCTTGATACAAGCATCATCTTTCAATGCTGTCTATGTTATTTCTGTTACTTAACATTTTTAAACTGTCTTACTTCTAATTTATCGGCGAATAAACAACTATGAATATATTCGTAAATTTTACGGATCCAACACGTGCGTTGGAGAGTTAATGCGATCATCGTGGCAATCAACGTGTGCTTTATAAACAAGAAACACTAAGAGAATTCATAATTATCATTTTATTAAAATCATCTTCGGTTCTCTGAGATCTATTTCAATGAATCGAATAATACTCCATTATATCGTTTATTCGTTAGTGAATGTTTACTTACTAAAATTCGAACGTTATCCCAAGTGACATCACTTGACTAACCTGTGTATTTTATACATAATACTTGCGTCTGATTGTATTTCAAACGTAATTGTGGATTGCTGAATCTTTCTACTTGTCAACGGTGACAGAAATATCAGGGAAAAACAAAAGTGTATTTGGATGCAGGAAGCTTTTTCAAAATGAAGCACCGTAAAGCCTGCGTGTGGCTCTATATATACTTATACATACATACATATATATATATATATATGTCTTCGTCGTTTTCTTCTTTGCTCTTCTTCCCTTATTGTAAATCTGGTAATGTCGGATTGCTTCTCTTCGTAAATAAAGATTCTGCGTATCAGAGTTTATCTTTGTTATACTTCTCATTTTGTTCACAATTATCTTTAAAAACAATTACATACATACGTATATGCATATGTATCGTGCACTTTACAATATAATATATATCTTTTTTTTCTTTTATCCCGGACATTTCGAATCTCAACTTGAACTATTCGGCTGTGAACAACGAGTGAAGAGGGTAGCGTCGAATTTTTTTTCCGTCTTCCAATTTCCTTCTTCATTTTTACATTCTCGCATACGATCCGTGTATTCTCACACGACGAAACAAACCGTCAGATTCATTCAGGTAAAAATATATAACGCCGCTAAACGTATTAAATAATCATTAATATAAATTAATCGCATAATTTCTCTTTTGAGTGAACGCTTCGTTTAAATCGCGAAAACGAGATACAGCCCAATTGTACAATTTGTATGTTAGCATCGATATGTACATCTAATCAACAATAAAATAGAATACTATTTAAAATAGGAAAACAACATTAATCACTGGCATTTAGATTAACCCCAGAACTACCAGAACGACCAGGATTATCTTAATATTTTATAGAAATTTGCTACAACTTGCTTTTTTACTTCTGTACTTTGGTACAGATTTTACATTTCAGTCTTGGGCAGTTCTAGTGTTAATCTTTATCGTTTATTATTATACATTGTAATATCTTTGATTGACGTGCAAAGGAGTATAAATTTCAAAATAATATACTACCATTTTCAAAAAGAAAAAGTACAATGAGATGAGGCATGTTTTATCAATTTTCACGTCTAAAATCTAACTCCTGGACCCTTCGACATTGCACTTTAAATTTAAATACTACGAATATTTTTTCTGCTGAACTAACAATTTTGTCTTGTACTCTTTCGTCTTGCTCGTCCACTGGCGATAAAACAATCTTTACTCAAATGAAAATTCGTACGGATTCAATAATATCTTTATACAAATTACAGCATGTTTCCTCCCTTATTTTACATAAATTTTCACGAGCGCTTGCACAGTGATTAATGCCCCGTCCCATGAGGCAGGCAAATTTTCTCGATTGGACAGAAGTCCAGAAATTTCCTACATTAACTTTTAAATTATCACACAACGTCCGGAACCACTTATTATTAGTTGTTTGTCATTCGTAAAACACAGGATTTCGTAAATCGCGTGAAATTCGCTTAACAAGTCTAATTCGCGGTTGCCTCGTTACAAGAGAACGAAAAAGATATTATTCGAATGTACATACTGATCCAATACTAATTAAGATCCAATACTAATTAAGATCCTTCACACGTGATCGTAATGCAAGAACCATAAACAACATCCGCGCGCGGACTGTTTCGCGAAAAGCTTACTAAACTAAGTACTCGGTACTTCGTCGGAGCTGTTTAATCTTCTAACAACCGGAGGATAATTTAACAACGTGTCGTGTGGTTTTGGGACCTCTTAAAACGATAAACTAATAGTACCATTTGTTTTTTTTTCTTTTTTTTGTTTTTCATTTACTGATTGGCAGTTGTTGCAGAATATCGCCTGGATATATAACTTCCCCGTTCTATCGTTTATCATTTATCGTAGAATCGGCGAAACGATCGCGAGAATCGATAGCACATTAACACAAACACGATATTACAATACATACGTACACATACATCGAATACAATAATTACATTCCTCTTTGATTCGCATTGATAAACAAAGCTACGTGTAAAACATACCTCGCTAAAACAATCGCTAAATAATTGTATTTTCCTCGTTTATATTGTTATTTATAAATTGTCAACTGTTACTCTAAGTAACTGATAAATGTTATTCATCGGCACGTTGACTGCCGGATGGATGGAAATTTCCTTTTTTCTTTGTCTCGTTACAAAAGTGAAATCTTTTTTCTTCTTTTTCTTTTTTTTATTTTTTTTAAGCTCTTCGCGATTCGTTTGGTACTTTAGATTATTATTTTACAATACTTAACAACGGTTTATTTTACTTAAATACTTTAATGAATCTCAATAACGGCCAATTGTCAATGATAATTCATTGGCAGGTCTAGCAGGTCTCACTTCCATGGCAGTCAACATGTCAATCACGCACAGAAGTATATTATTATCGTATAAAATACACAATCCTCGAAACTGTCTACGGTCCACGCGACTCTCACCGGCGTTTAGAGGATTAAATCGCCAAAATAAATACGCTACATCGTTTTCCTTTCGTCGGGAAGAAATCATATTAACGGGGATAATGTGAGGTAGCAAAAAACAAAGTGACATCATTTTTGTCTCAAATGGCTATTGAATCGCGGATTAATTTGCAATACAAAAAGACGATGAAATTGCGAAAGAAATATCAATCGGTGTCAATTTGCGAACACTTTGCATCACGAAAATATCAATTCTTTCTCTAGAAGCAGAGTCGTGTGTCTGCTGTACGCTATAATGCAGAAAAGAGTTCTATCTAGAGAGAAAATTACAACGTAACATAATACGTGATTTCCTTTCGGTTTCCTTTCTTGTGTCCATCGACTCACGAGTATTTCTGATAAATTCGATGTATCCATTCGAACAGTTTCACGTCTTTTCGTCTGTTACGAAGGATTCCACGCGGAAAATCAAAGAAGAAGAGATGAAGGGATCAAATGGTAATTTGGGGGAAAATTGGTAATTTTCTTCGACAAAGGGATATAATTTCCCTTGGATTATACGTGTTCGTATCGTCATTGCACTCTAACGAAATCCCTATAATACAAAATAAGAGTATTCTGGTGGTGTGCACCAGAATCGAAATCTCTGCGTTAATATTAACGAATGCCCTCGATGACACTGCATTTGCTACGTCGAGAAAAGCAGAAACTCCTTTTAGTTAACGAACGATAAATCCTTCTAATACTTTGTAACACAGAATCACTGTTTCTCGCTTTCCGAGAAGAATAAACATAACACGGCTCGCAATTCTGAATGTTTCGTGATCATTACGCGCTACGTACATACACTTAGAAATTTAAATCATAAATGAAATATTTCTGAAATATTATCACGTGCTTCGCAGAAATTTATATTAATATATTATTCGCAATAATTTGGTCTTTGATTAAAAAATGAATTTTGGTTTTTCAAAACTAGTAGCTAGTTATCCAGTAGGGGATGAGTCGGGTCGGGTTCCCGAAAATTTCAAGAACCTGGCTACCGTTTCTCGAACTATTCTCCAATGCTGTTTAGCAATAACAGCCTACAAAATATGTAAATACACAGTTCAATTTGCCAGTGAAGTTATTGAAAACACGGATTCTAAGAATCGTGTGACCTGTATATAAACGTGTGACTGCGTGCTTAGTACTTATGATATTATGTACGCTGTTGAGCAGTATCGCTGAGAAATTCGGAAAGTTCGGACGTATATTTCAAAATCGGTGTGAATTTAATAAAGACTGAAAATCTTTAAAAGAAAAAGTCGAATAAAGTTGTGGCAGCAGGAAATAGTGCAGAAGATATCGTGCAAAGGAAGAAGATAAAGAGAAGCTCTGTTTGGCAACATTTTCAAGAAAAAGATGATACAAAGGCGGAATGCACGCATTGTCACCATGAATTTGAAACTAAGTGTGCAAATACTACTGGTTTATTATGCCATTTGAGGCATATGCATCCAAACATTAGTATATGTACTAGAAAAGACACTGAATTGATATAAAATTTGTCGCATGTACAAAATGATACGCGAAAGATTGTTAAACCAAAAGATATAACAAAAGAAATTACTCGAATGATGATTCTAGATCTGCGACCTTTCGATACAATTGAAGGCGTGAGCTTTAACAAATTATTTAAGCTTGTTCCCAATCCTTTTTCAAATCCCAACTCTTTCGAGAATTCCGATAAATTCGAAAATCTCGAAATTTTCGGGTATCCGTCCCGATCCAGAAAAAGTTTCATGTTCCCGACACGACCCGACATTTTGGGTTCTCGCCTCTAGTTATCAGTTTATCATGCTAGGCATTATAAAGAAATGCAGAGCGAAATAATATTCAAGCTACAGACATTTTCTTCGATATACCAATATGAAAATAAATAAAGCGAGAAATACCTTAATTTTGATAAATTACGATAAAAATTACACATGCACTGAGCAATTTGTATTGAATACATAAAACGTGCTATAAAGGTAAAATTCATCCTAATACTATTTGAGGAATTAATATTCCTGTTTGCATATATATATTAT